TGCTGTCTGCATTTGCTGATTTGCATCTGACATACAAGCCAGACATTGTAGCAACACCCACACGCATTTATTTACTGTAAGTGAAACTAAATGTAAACCACACTGACGCTTGACTGCTGTTAGATGGATGAGATATCTACAGATGGAGACTGTGTGTGTGTGTGTGNTGTGTGTGTGTGTGTGTGTGTGTGTGTGTGAGCGTGTGTGTGTTTTGACACTAAGGCCCCTCAGGTTCCACCTCCATCATTTGTCAGGTTCTAGTTCAGTATCTTACCTGGAATCGCTGTGATACCTGTCACACACCTGACCTCTCACTGGCATACAGCAGCTGAAGGAAACAGCAGTAGATCAGGGACTTCATGGGGAATTCAAGTTCATGAACGTCTTGAGAAAACAAAAAAACAAACGAGTTTCATTTGACAGTAACAATAGAAAAGGAAAATCACAAATATGGTCTATATTTAATATCTTGATAGTTTCTACTAGACAGCAGTGAAGTCCAATAGAAAGCAAATAGATTCTTGCTTTTGTCTTCTGCTTTTCAGATTTGATCTCTCAGAGTTTCAGAAGATATCTCAAACTGTGCTTGGATTTGCCAAGATATGTGATTATGTCAGAGATCTCAATATGAACTTTATCATTAAATTCTTCCAAGAGATGAAAAGTTAAATCATCTGAGCTGCTATCCACAGTCATTTTACATGTGACCTATTGTTTAATTTGTGTATGTTGTTTAATTTTAAGGAATTTTAAGAAAAACATGAGACAAAGCTAAAACTTAAATGAAATATTATTCAGAACGCAGCTATAAAAAAGCAATAAAATTATATATGTTATGAAATGTTTCATTTTCTATATATTATATACACCCACAGTGCTGGACACCTTTTTAGTTTTACTGGGTTGGGTAAATATGTATATTTATTTAATCTATATTTATATGTGTGTGTGTAGGTAATAAAGGCAAAAATAATAATAATAATTAGTATTATTATTTTATATTAAATAGTAGCAGTGTAGTGTATTTTTATAACTTGAGCAATGAAAATGTGTATATGCATGTTATGAAATTTCAAAAGTCATATTTTAACTAACTTTAATATTTTTTGTCTTTTGCAGTGTTCAGTACTTTTTTAGTTTGACTAGGTAAGTTGGTAAGTATTTTATAATATGTTAATTTTGTATATTTATTATTATTCTTTGATAATGTGAGCAATACATTTGTAGTGAAGCATGTTATGAAATTTCACAGTCATATTTGTTACTAACTTTTATATATATTTTTTCTTACACTCACAGTGCTGAATACCTTTTTAGTTCGATTAAGTATACATTTTTATTTATTTTTATATTTTATTATTATTGTTGTTTTTTGGTCTTGAAAAAGACCTTAAAAGCTACTGTTAATAAAATTTTAATTCAACATTTCCACAAGCTATTTCGTGCTTCCATTCTGTTCTGAAGAAGAATATATTTATATTTAGAAGCCACCTAATGATAGAATTCGAAAATGGCAGCCGTGGGCATGTTTGTTTTAACATTACAAGAATCACCAGTTTCCTTCGAGCTGTTTATCAGATTGTCCAGGAGCAGGTGAACCAGTCTGATGACATAATATCATTACCATTTTTTTCTTGTCTGTAAATACTTGTCATCTGGATCTTCCGTCTCATTTGAGAAACACTGCAGTGAAGGAGAGCTGCATTACATCTGTGTCTGATCCTTCGTCGTTTTGTCCTGGCATTCGACCATCATGTCTTACACGGCCGGGTCTTACATGGCCAAACCCTACGCGGACAAATCCTATGGGGGCAGCGTGTACACGAGATATCCGGATGAGAAATCTGCGAAAGACGTGTACGAGGAGCAGCTGAAGCACGAGAAGAGAAAGAGACGGGAATCTATCTGCTGTGAGGTGGTTGCGCTGATTATCGGCTTCTTCGGACTGATCGGCGTCGCCTCCGTCACAGGCCTCCCGATGTGGAAGGTCACCGCGTTCATCGAGGAGAACATCATCGTGATGGAGACGCGTTGGGAGGGATTGTGGATGAACTGCTACCGGCAAGCCAACATCCGTATGCAGTGCAAAGTCTACGATTCTCTGCTGTTCCTCCCGGCCGACCTCCAGGCTGCCAGGGGTCTCATGTGCTCCTCCGTCGCTTTGACCACCTTCGCCTGCATCTTGTCGGCCGTAGGCATGCGCTGCACCCGTCTGGTAGACTCCCGTCCTAGAACCAAACACATTGTTTTGGTGAGCGGAGGGTGTTTGTTTTTGGCTGGCTGCTTGACCACCATCATTCCTGTGTCTTGGACGGCTCATGTGATCATCCAGGACTTCTACAACCCGTTGTTAATCGACGCCCAACGTAGAGAGCTCGGAGAGGCCTTGTACATCGGATGGGTCACTTCAGCTATGCTCTTTAGTGCTGGGGTGATTCTGCTTTGTCGACATGCACCACGGACCCAGGACAAAGAAGACTTGGCTGCTGTTCTGTATCGGGCCGGATCGGCCCCGTATAACTACTCCTACAGGCCTGGATATGGATACCAGCCTGCGTATGGATATCAGCCTGCGAATAACTATCAGCCAGCCTATTCTCCTGTCCAGTCAGTTTATAACCCTCCAAGATACTGAGGCACACAGTGAGTGCTGTGCTTTACCACTTCTATATAGAGTCTCAAATAAAAAAGTTGAGTTGGGAGCGATCTGCATCAAGATTCAGAAGAAAGCAGGACTGATGGAGCCTCAGTTGATTATATGTGACTGTATATGTGAATATTAGTTTTTACATGCTTGATTTGAATGCATTTCCTCATTTCAAAAGACTTATTTGTTTTGTCTGTAATTTGTACAGAAATAATATGCAATATGTACTAAAATTAAAAATATATTATAATATGTATATATATATATATATATATATGTATATATATATATATATATATATATATATATATGTATATGTATATATAGATATTTCCACGCAGCATTTAACTGTGGATCCGTGACTTAATGTTGGGTCTGTGATATGATTGTGTTTGTTTTGCACTTTGTCCATTTTTAAAGCACTGGTTTGACTTTAATTGTATTAAATAAATGTGTAAAAAGAACTGTGGATGTACTAGTTCCTGGTCTGTAGTCTTTAAATAGTCCCTTCCTGGACTCGACAACATCATTTTGTTGTTTTTTAGCCCAGTGTTTGCGACACTGGTCGAACTAGTTCAGGTGGTTTTTCAGTGTATGGTTCTCTTCTGTTGCTCCACAACTTTAAATGTCACACCCCTAATGCAAATTTACCAGCAGACATGAGTGACACTGACTGTGTGTATATGTGATCTAAGATAATGTAAGATGTAACTGGAAAAACTATCAATGCAGCAAAACAATATTATGATCCAAATTCTCATCTCATCATGAAATTGAACTAAATACCAAAAGTTTATGGTTACTGTGAGCCATCTTATAGAGAACAGAAAATAGATTTTTACACTGTCTGAAGAAAATGTGAGCAGTGCTTAATAGTACAAAGGTTGCTAGGGTGTTGCTATATAGTTGCTAAGAAGTTCTGAGTGGTTTTTATCATGTTGCTATGTGCTTGCTAGGATGTTCTGCATAGGAACTGAATAGCAAGATGCTAAAAACTCAGCATTAAATGAAATAGCAAAAATACATATAGGTTGCTAAGATGCTGCTATGCAGCTGTTAAGGTGTTCTGAGTGGTTGCTATGAAGTTGTTAAGACCCTAGAAACCTCATAGCAACATGTTAAAAGCCACTCTGAACACATTATAAGCCATATAAAAACCCTTTAGCAGCTGCAGAGCAACACCTTAGCAATCACATAGTAACATTCTAAAAAAAAATTAGAACCCCTTAGCAGATGCAGAGCAACATTCTAAAAACTAATCAGAACTTCTTATCAGCTGCATAGCAACCACACAGTAACATTCTATAAACCACTCACAACCCCTTAGCAGCGCCATAGCAACACCCTGGCAACCGCATAGTAACATTCTATAAACCACTCACGACCTCTTAGCAGCTGCATAGCAACCATACAGCAACATGCTAAAAGACACTCAGCGTTAAATGGAACTACAAAAATGCTTTACTGTACAAAGGTTGCTAGGGTGTTGCTATGCAGCTGCTAAGGGGTTCTAAGTGGTTTATAGGATGTTACTATGCGGTTACTAGGGTGTTGCTATGCAACTGCTAAGCGGTTCAGAGTAGTTTTTAGAATGTTGCTATGCAGCTGCTAAGGGATTGTGAGTGGTTTATAGAATGTTACTATGCGGTTGCTAGGGTGATGCTATGCAGCTTCTAAGGGGATCTGTGTGGTTTTTAGAATGTCACTGTGTATCGGTAAGGGGTTCTAAATGTTTTTTTTAAGAGGTTATTGTGCAATTGCTTATGTTCTGAGTGGTACTTAGTATGTCGCTATGTGGTTGCTTTCTGTGGTTCCCATAGAAAACCACATAGCTACATGCAAACAACCACTCAGCATCAAACGGAATTGTAAAAAAATCACAAAATTCTGTTTGATGTCTCTAGCGGTGCAGAAATGACACGCTTTACCTTTAACTAAATGTAAAACATCAACGTTAAGCCATGAGCTGACTTCACAAATGTTCTTCTGAACATATCAGACAGCAATTTAATGAGCTGCAATACCAGTGGTGTTAAACATTGACAGCAGTCCAGAGTTGTGGTGTGCTTTCTTGTATCAGTAACCCCTTCAGCTGCATTTCCTCACTTAACAGGATCTCCAACAGAAAACGATGCTTGCTGAGCAAACATCAACACAGCTACGAGCTCCTCCTCCTCCCCCAGTAACACAAAACCAGACACAAACACTCGCAGGGGGGGTTTGATTTCATAGCAACCAGCCCTGGCCCTCCCTCCCCTGAGCAAGAGGGTGGAGGCTTGGGAACAGGTGAACACCTATCAGCTCCCATTCCAGCGGGATGCAAAACCTCAAAGTCAAAACCAGTCCTCACTCTTCAGGCTTCTGGAATCATGGCGAACGGCGCCCTGGAGATTGTGGGAATGTGCGTGAGCCTGATCGGCCTCATCGGGGTGGCGGCCAGCACTGGGATGCCGATGTGGCGGGTGACGGCATTCATCGGGGAGAACATCATTGTGATGGAGACCCGGTACGAGGGCTTGTGGATGAACTGCTTCCGGCAGGCCAACATTCGGATGCAGTGTAAGGTGTACGACTCCTTGCTGGCACTGTCCCCGGACCTCCAGGCCGCGCGGGGGCTCATGTGCTGCTCTGTGGCATTGACCGGGCTGGGTCTACTAATTTCCATCGCTGGGATGAAGTGCACGGCATGCATCCAAGGAAACGACCGCGCCAAGCGGATGGTTCTAATCATCGCTGGCTGCATGATCCTATTGGGGTGCTTCTGCTGCCTCATCCCTGTCTCCTGGACTGGACATGCCATCATCCAGGACTTTTACAACCCTTTGCTCATCGATGCCCAGCGTAGAGAACTCGGGGAGGCATTGTACATAGGTTGGGTGTCTTCTGCCTTCTTATTTGCTGGCGGGTGCATATTCACCTGCTGCGGCGGCTCCCTGGACAAGGGCCCAGATCCGAGGTACAAGTACACCAGGAACGCACCCTACGTGGCATATCAGCCGCAGCCCTTGGTCTACCACCCCCAGCCACACTCGGTGTACAGCCACCCGTCCGGGCCACCGTCGTTCATTGAGCAGTCATACCAACCATCCAGACAGCAGTCATTCATTCAGCCTTCCAGACAGCAGTCATTCGTACAGCCGTCCCGACATCTATCCACCCGCAGCGCCGTGGCTTATCTCTGAAATCCAGCTGGATGTTTCACAGGCTTGTGTATTTGCGTTTGTGTGTGTGTGTGTTAGAGAGAGATGGTAAGGACGGACTTCTAACCAAAAGGTTTAAAAAATATTTGGAAAAAATGTAAATGTAAGTTAGTTCTAAAAAAGTAGTCATTTCTACTTTTGCTTTTTAAATATCTAAATAGAAGCCGATGACAGATGCAAAGGACTGACTTCTAATCAAAGCTTTTTTTTTTAAACGAGGGAAAAAGACTATTTGGAAACGTTTAAAAGGATTTAAATGTGACCCGTTTCATTCTTGGGAATGTTTTTTGACAGAATTTTAATACCATTTGCACTTTTAAATGTCTAAGTAGGAGCAGATGAGAGATGGAATGGACAGACTTCTAACCAGAGGTTTTACAAAAAGAACATTTGAACAGATGTAACAAATCTAGGCCTATATTTCATATTTTTTAAAATGTAAATATATGTTTTAATTTTTTTTTAAATTTAAATATTGTTTCTACTTCACTTTTTTATCTAAGTAGAATAGGAGCAGGTGATAGATTGACGAGTTTTAAAAAAATAAAAAAACATTTGAAAATTTTGCAACATTTCAACGGTTGTAAATGTAGCAGTTAGTCATACATTTCATTTAATTTGTTTTCTCTCCCCCAGTTCATTCTTTGGAATGTTTTTAACAACATTTAAATGTTGTTTCTACTTTGGATTTTTAAATATCTAAGTAGGAGCGGATATGAGATGGAAAGGACAGACCTCTAACCAAAGGTTTTTCAAAAAAGAAAAAAGAATATTTGAAAAACACTGTAACATTTAAACAGTTTTAAATGCAACAAAGTTCCACTACATTCCATTTTTTCACCGTTTCATTTTTTGGAAGGTTTTTGACTACATTTAAATGCAGTTTCTACTTTTTTAAGTAGATATATTTTTTAATATGCAAGTAAGAGAACCTTGAGAACTGACTGAGATGAAAAATTGTTTTAAAGATTTTTGTTGTTGTTGTTTCATATGATTCATTGTAAAGTACAGTTCATACCTCAGGACATTGTAAAGTATGCTACTTGAGGTATTTTGTATTACTTGAAAGCCGTCTAAAATAGAAACGAGGGAAAAAGTGTTTAATATTCAGATATTATGTTTTTATGTAAATATCAAAGCACAAAACAATGATTTAAATCAATAAACAAGTGAAATATCCTTAATGATAAGATATTTGCTATTCCTC